ACATTGACACAAAGGATGCAGACACAATATGGGAGAAAATACAGAATGCGGCAAAATACGGAAAACAAATACAATTGCACTTATCCTCGTGGCTTACGTGTACGGCGAGGGGCACTGCGTGTTTCGTTTCCTTTTCATTTAATTGCGCCTGCAACATGAGGGCAACACTGGCGGAAACAGCATCACACGCGCAGCTACAGAGATACCCAGAGATACGCAGGGATGTATATGTTAAATTTTCAGTTTAATTTCGTTTTCATTTCCGCCCACAGTGTGTGTGGAGTGGACAGATTGGGGAAAGGACCGACTGAAAAAAGAAGACACGGAATGAATGATTGAAGAATCTGCAAACAGTTGGCCTGCAACACATGTTAACGGGGGGCCACGGGGATACGGCAGCAGCCAATCAATTCGACATTTAAAAAAATAGAATACAAGAAAAATAAAGCAGAAAAATCTTGGGGCGGAGCAGAGTCGACTTTTAGATGTCCTAAGGAACAGGAAAATATTGAAAATTAATTTAAGATCTCTCCAAATGTTGAATGTTTAATAAAATAAACGCACAAATAAAACTTTTGGTAGTCAAAGCTAATTTCACACTAAAACTGTATCAAAAGAGCTGCCAAAATAAGGTATTTCCCTTGCGCTCTCCCAAAGCCACACCCCTAAATGGCTTCAAATGCTTAGAACCCCCAGGGCATTGCGGCTGTCTGTCCTACTGAAAGGGGCATACATTTCGTTCATATCCTCTTGGCTCGGCTATCGAGAAGCTCTGCAACGGCATCCGCCATTTATTATGCAACGGAAATGAGCACAAAGTGTATTCCTGTCTGTCTGTCTGTCTGTCTCTTACTTACTCTCCTTTTCGACGCACTTTACCCACTTTCCTTGGCGGTTTTCTCACCGCTCCACCCAGCCACTGCCGAACCCCTCATGTTTATACGAATATTGTTGCCTGAGGGCGCGTTTCGCTTATGTTGAGAATTAAAAGAAACTCAACTCTTCCGCCAGACTCTCTCTTCGTCTGTTGTCGACATTCTGCGGAAGTTGCAATGAAATTGCCAACATCCGCCAGCAGCAGCAGCAGCAGCGGCGGCAACAATGTGTGTGGCATGCAACAACAGCACGTGTGCGTATGCCAGAAGATCCAACTCGAACCCAGACACAAGGCGTAACGAGTTTGAGATGAGTGCGAGGAGTAAAGAGTGTGACGAGTGAGGTGTATGAGGCGTTGTGTCGGCATTTGTCAGTCTAGGCAGCCACCATGGCTGCTTGCTCATTTCCTGTGCGCACAGCGGAAGTGATTTAAGCTCTACTTTTACCCACTTTTTACCTTTCCCCCAGTAGGAGATTCTGCAATTAAAATGATGGACTGCTGGCAGCTTCATGAATATTTAGGGAAACTTTACGGCTAACGGCTCGTCTCATGTCAAGGTCAATGTCAGCACATTTCACACACATAGGCACTCGTTTCCCATTTTCCGGGGTAGTCAAACATTGCTCTTTCCGCTCCATCAACTCTAACGAGAGGCAGCAAGTGGTTTGCCGTTGAACCTTACACTGGTAGCCCATTCTTAGTTACATTTGTTCTCTTTCGCACATAATTCAAATTCCATGGAAAACCCAACCCAACAATAGTTCTCGTTTTTCCTTTCTCTATGGAAACACCACACACTTGCAGCCAACACCTAAGTGCCTCACAATCCGCATTAAACGTTTTCAAGGTCGTGCGGGCAACGCTTATTAAAAATCAAGCCCAAGTCGGGCCACGCAATCATCGGGCGGAAATCAGAGATATTTTTGCACCAAGTGCGCCGCCGGAACATGTGGTGCACTGTGGAGAGATGGCAGAAATGGCAGAGATTGCAGCGATTGAAAAGTGGAAATAAATATGAGGGAAATGCCAAGTGAAATGCAAATTTGACTTTGATTCCTTTTCGCTGACGCACAAGCGCAACTTTGTGCCTGGCTTTCATATTTGGAATGGCATTTTGCTAGCTCAAAGTGGAGGAATGAAGGATGAGGAATGAAGTGGTTGCCTGGCTGCCTGGCTGCCTGGCATTTACCTGCTGCTTGCCAATGCAAATGTTAGACAATTTTTCATTTGCATAATGTGCTCAGCTCTGCTGCTGGGAATTTTGAACGTCTGGCAACTTTGTCACTTGCAGACAAGTCGGATTATGCCGGCGAAGCAAAAGTTCCTTCCCAAAAAGAAACGATGAGGAAAGTTTCCTTGACAAATTAGCGCGGTACAAAAAGGGACTGGCAAGTGCAAGCAACTCCAGAGATAAACTGCTGCAGACACTCACATGTGTATTGGTTCTCTGAGGAGTTGGGAACTGGAGTTGGAGTTGGAGTTGCTCTTTAAATTAGGTTAACTCATCCGCCACCAAGCAGCCAGTTATCGGCAGTTATAGCCACCTTTCCAGAGCTCCTACTACTACTTGTTACATGTACTTGCCGGAGCTCTCCCTTTATTGCAAGTTGAATTGGCTGTGTGCTGTGCGGCACGTCCTTTGGCCACTTTTGTCAATATATTTTGCACTGCAAACTGCCGCCATAGAAAAACTTGCTACATATGGAAAATGGCTATTGAATGTGCATTGAGGGATACAGGGTGATTTTATACGCCACCAAAGAGGAGCCACCAATCTTAAATATCACACGGAAAACCCTGTTTCATTGGCGAAACTTTACTTTAGAGCTCGAAGCACTTTTCTTGAACATAAAATGCAGCTGCAACTGTGGCACAGTTCTGGTGCTGGTCTTGGTGCTGCAACAAAGAACTTTCTGATGCCATTGTTATTCTTGGCCTGGTCAGTGCTGGTCGTTGGCCTTTCCACTGCCATTTCAGCAGCGATCTGAGCGATGTGCCGACTGACCCACTGAGTTCACAAATATTCGCATCATCCCCTGCCCCAGCATATTGTTTGGGTCGGGGTGCGTATTTCTCTGTATGTACCATGTTCCATGGCCGGGCATCATTTGTCAATGTCGCCATCGTCGTCCGCGCCCTGGGTGCTGAGCACACGCAACCTTCCATATCCCATATCCCATATCCGCACCTCCTGTGGCATGTTTGGTTCGCGTAAGTCCTGCGAATGGCTGGATTTCCATGGCATTGCATACAATTTATATACATCTGCCACCTGTCCTGCCTGTCCTGGCCACCACCAACTACTTTTGTGGGAATTCCAACAGACGTCGAGCATTGGAATATTCTGCTCCTCCGTTATGCTGAGCTCCTGGCCATCGTCACATGGTTTTTATTATGCAGTTCTGCTCCAGTCCCTCCTCCTAACACTGCTCTCTCTCTCTCTCTCTCTCTCTCTCCTTGGGGCATAACGAACAACCGCAGTGGGGCAGCAGCCTCAGCTGCTTGCTCTGCCTTGCCTCTAATTAAACGCCTTTGAAATTTGCTCCTCTCATTGAGGGTCGACTTTGAACGCATTCAACCATTTAATTGATGCTGTTCTTTGGCATCTAATTGCCTTGATGATTGCCGTAGATGATTGTCGGCGGAGATGCAATTCCCAATGCAATGTGGTTACCACCCACTGCCTCCCCCGTTCCTTCTCTTGTGGTGTAAGCGAAATTAGCTTTCGATATTTCTGTTTTGCGTAAGCATTTCCAAAGCCAAATACCAGAAATGTTTATGGGATATAACGAATATTAGTTCCCTAAAGTATTTTTTTATTATAAATGTAAATCCAATGAAGTATGAACATCACTTTGAGGGACTTTCAGCACATACATAAATTAATTGTTAGTTGAAAAACTTTGATTTAGTTTCCCTTTATCACGAAATTCAGTGAGCTGCACAAACCACAATCAAATATTGTCAGGAGCGGCGCAAATCTAACCGAAACACTCAAGAAGGTCAAAATATTTTAATGGCCAGCTGAAAACCGCAAAAAAGACAAGAGCCGAGAGCCGAGAGCCAAGGAGCAGGCAAATGAACTGAATGTCGAATGGATTTCGAAGCAGAGACTGTGCCCGAAAACCGCTCAATTATTATGGCTAAAAGGGAGCCGCAAAAAGTCATTATCTGAAATATGTCGGACATGCCACACAGACAGATAATGGGCAACCCATATGAAACGCAATTAACAGTAAGGTAAAGACCAAGTCCGGACCATTAAATTTCAAGGGTTCAAAGATCTATTCCCGCATGCCAAAAAGTATGCAGCAGCAGGGAAATTCTGCTCATGGGGGTGTTGGGGTAAAGAAAAGAGAAAACTGAACAGTGAAAAGCTAACGCTGAAAAGCTTTCTCTCTTTCTCTGGCCTGGCCGGGCGTGGTGCGTGAATAATCAATGACATATGGGCACCAAAATAACATTCAACAACAGACGAATGCAATCTGCCAGCAGCAGCAGCAGCAGCAGCAGCATCAGCAGGGGAAGGGGATGGGGCAGCTACACCTCCATGTGGCAAAAGAGATCTGAAAATTATGAAATGAAAACTTTCCCACCATCCGCCATCCTCCTGCATGCACATCCATCTCGAGGACAACTTTTGGAAATGAATTTTTTATGACGCTAGAGGGGAGTGCCGTCATAAGTACGAGTATCTGCTTGGCTTGCCATTTTTTTCGGGTTGCTTCAAGAGAGTGTTGCAACTTGCAACTTATGCCATACACTGTCCCTGATAAGATAGGGGGGAGAGTGACTGCCCCCGAGGACTGCACGGAATGTGAGTTGGACAAGTTGGTAAGTGGCGGCAGCAGCAGCAGCAGCAGCCTGAGAGATGTTTTGGGCCAGAGCAGCACTATCTGGATGGCACACATTAAAGAGGGGAAATTCAGCTATTAAACCCGGTAGGACATGCCACATTTAAGCTGAAGAACTCATCAAGAAATACACTGCACCCGAGACATGTCTAGAAACAGATGGAACAGCAGCAGAGAGTGTAAATTAACCAAATGCTTGACAAATTGATTTTTACGCACTTGACACTTAAAACCAAACTTTAGGGGAATAAAAAACAGTTGACATTTGACGTTCAGTTGATGGCATCATGGGTTTTCCATCCTTTTTTCAAGCTTTCTTGCCATTAAAAGCCTTTTTTGCTGGCAGTAAGTGTACAAAAAGGCCACAAAAAAACATTTAGCTAATTAAATATTCCCTCTGCAGAATGTGGTAAATATCAGAAAAAAGTGAAGGACACTTCGCACCTTTTCCTCTCGTACAAGTGCGTCTGCAGGGATGGCTATGTGCGCAGGAGCAAATCGAAATGCGCTGCCATGTACATTCCACCGTACAGCAGTCAAACTCGGAAGGTAATAAAAACAACACTAAACACACCCGGAAAAACCACCAGCACCACAGCAGTGATGACCACCAGAAACACCACATTGTCGAGCACCACATTGTCGAGCACCACAGAAAGGAGCACCAAGAAAAGCACCACATTGTCGAGCACCACATTGTCGAGCACCACAGAAAGGAGTACCAAGAAAAGCACCACATTGTCAAGCACCACAGAAAGGAGTACCAAGAAAAGCACCACATTGTCAAGCACCACAGAAAGGAGTACCAAGAAAATCACCACATTGTCAAGCACCACATTGTCGAGCACCACATTGTCGAGCACCACAGAAAGGAGTACCAAGAAAAGCACCACATTGTCGAGCACCACATTGTCGAGCACCACATTGTCAAGCACCACAGAAACAAGTACCAAGAAAAGCACTAGGAAACCGACTTGGACCACAGCACCACATACCACAATCATTATCCCACCTTGGTTTCCAACGAACGAGGACGCAAAACTAACCACGATAAATGGGTATCAAGCAGGCGGTATCATATTTGAGGAGAATCAGATCTGGAGCACATTTGAGCCATCAAATTATTTGCGCATGGCTGAGTTTGTTACTCCCAAGACCACCACACCATCAACATCAATCCGTTAGTCGAGTCCAAGCAACTTCACAACAAATGCTAGACAAACCCTTTTTATTCCGCAGATATTATGAACCTTCCTGTGACAACCAACACCATGACTACGCCTTTTATGGGACATTGGAAAATTCTGGTGTCCGGAGTTCTTTAATTTAATAAGAATTAAATAAGAGAAGTTATCCATAAAAAAAAATCTAGAATCTATCTTCTTCGGGTTATTGAAAGCATCAGTAACACGTCCGAAAAAATCATTTTCCCACTGCTTTTCTCTGATGATTGCAATGATCATTCGCTTAGCCTGGTGCTGGGCTTCAGCTTGGGCAGCCACAGACAGAACCTCTCTACTTAGGATAGGGACACCATTAAGAATCCAATAAAATGTGTGACCCCACACGGCATAGCACCCGAAAAATGTTGAGTGAGCAATTAACAGACAGCTTTACCGACTCAACCCATAGATCTTTCTACAATGTGGACTTGTGTGCCCTTTCAGGCGAAAAATGTGAAATAAAATAAATATTGACAGGCGAGAGTTGAGTTCCAGCAGTAGAGACGACGTCTGTCGGTTGTCGGTTGATTTATGTGGCATGACTCATGGGCGTGAAAGTGTAACTGGAACTGAGACCGGTCTAGATTTATGTATACGTTGCCGGTGCTGACCAATCTGTCCCGTTCTGAACTGAAGAGCACCGACAATTCCCAGACACGAGGGCAAACAAGCCAAAAGAAAAATTGAAAACTTTTTTTATACGAATTGGCAGGAGAGACCAGGGTGATGGCTGCCAATATTCTGCAGGCACTTGGCCCATTCATAGAATATAATATGGGCAACGTACACCCGAGCTGAGAGTACGTTGAACCTTCGAAAAAATGGAAAAAAGAGAAGAGAAATTGCACATGGTACAAGTATCGTAGTTCCCACCTCCCTTCCGTAATGCGAATGCAAATGAGTGGGTGGGTGGGCCCACAGATTTGTGTTTTGCTTTGCATTCACTTTTTGCCAGATATGAGTACGCATATGAGTGCGGCACTGGTACTCGTATTTCGGTCACAGGGAACGGGAACGAGAACGGCGGGACAGCCCATTCACTTGTGCCTGTCAATCATTCTTGCTGACAGGCAAACGGCAGAGGCATACAAGCGACCAGTACACCCAGTACCACATCCATCCATCCGTCTATTCCCATCCTCATCCATCCTCATCCTCATCTGGCTGCCAACGATGCGACGATGAGACAAACATTCCCACATTTGATTGACAGACTAAAACGCTCGTCCAAGCGGCTGACAAAAACGCAGCGAAAGCGAAATACTAGAAAACTATCTACATTCATGTATTTCTTTATAATTAAATTTAGCAGAATTCTCTCAATTATTTATGCCCAATTAAATGGTATGCAGAGTGGCATACAAAGAAGCAATGAACAAAATTAATGACTTAATTATTAATTGGCGTCATTAAATTCTAGAAATACCCGGGCTAAACACCTACTAAATATGCCAGTGCCACCGCTCCAGACCCGCTGAACAAATGTGCACACAATTCTGTCCAAACTATTAATTAATGTGCGGCTGTGCGTGATTATTATTATTATTTTTAATGCCATGCATTTATTCTAGTCTACGCTCGGATTGGCTCATTTGCATTTGCTATAATCCGTGTGCTGGCCAGAATGGTGCACAAATTTAATGTAACATTAATTCCCTCTTTTTGGCTGCTGCCCGAAAGAGTGGAAAATGCAAAGACATTTTTGCAAGACTGTGGGTAGGATGAGGTCTAGAAGCAAAGAGATTTTACGCAACGCAAATATTTATGTATTCAAATGTTGTTATGGAAATTGTAAATCCCTAGAAAAGTCTTGGGAAATGTGCAGCAACTTGTCAAGAATATGAAAAAAGATAATTCAAGCGTCTGGGCTATTTCTCTATTTATAATATAATTCTACTCCATCGAATTGGAGCACCTCTGTAGCCCTCATTAGCTTCACTGTTTATGGAAAATGCTTTAACAATTCAAGGTTTGTATTTATAGAAAACTACACAGATTAGCAACGAGTTTTCTAATTAATTCACGAACGCTTTCGAGGGGTTAATTATATCTGAAAATAATTATTATCCTGCCAGGCAAATAACATTTTAGCCAGAAATATTTCAGACATGTAAATAAAATAAAATACCCACACACAAAATATTCCCCAAAAATGCAATCAATTTATCTGCATTGGTATTTTGGGCGCAATTATGTTTTCTAGTTTATAATCAACTAATTCATTATGGAATTCATTATCAATATCCGACACCATTTCCCCATGTAATCATTTCTCACTCTGTAATCGCATGCAAGTCATTTAATTTGCATAATGTTTCCCCTGTTTTTAGATATTGCTGAATGCGTAAATTACTCATAAAAATTACCATTTCGCTATTAATTAGCTTTGGGCGTGGATTCCATAATTCCTTAATTGCGTCAAATTATTAGCAGTGTAAAGGGAAAGGTATTTCTATCTGCTTTCTATTTATATTTGTGTCCGAATACGAATATGAGTACGAGTAAATGTGGCAGCACAAGTTCATTAAAAATTCATTCGGGGTTCCGACTTTTCAAACTCTGATTATTTTTTCGACCAGTTTATTGAGTTGCCAAAAGTCAATTTTGAGGAAAATTGAATTTATTTTTATGGTATATTGAATCGAAAAATATGTGAATACTATTCGAAGTACACTGAGTTTTTCTACACCCTTTTCATGCAAATAAAAGCTAAGAATTTGTTTTAAAATTGTACAGAATTGTATACATAGATGGAACATTTTTTTGACCTGATTAATAAAATATTTTTTATGTCTTCATTACTACCCTTTCAGAGTGTATCCAAATTAATAGAATTTATAAGAAAAGTTTTTGCCAACGAAAAACTTTCCCACAACAGAGACGACAGCCACAAAGAGCGGACAGACTGAGGCTGAGGCTGACGGTTTTGAAAATGATAAACCGACCTTCATCTAAGATGGTGTTGTCCTGTCCGCATGTATCTACATTCCCAGACGCCTTGGCTGGGTAAACCACGGAAAACTTTGGCCGTCTGCCTTGTCTGGGTGTGTGTTTTGGTTAACTAAATTCTTTCTTAATTCAATCAGTCGGGAGACGCTGTAAAGTCGATGCCGATTTAATATTCTTTGGGGACGATATTTAAAAGCAAACTGTAATGATCGGCTGACGGCACTAATTGCTCTGGACATGCAAAAAGGCCTTGGCCGTAATTCGATTTCGAACATTGGGCTTAAAATTCCTTTCTGGCTGCCGAATAAATATAGACAACTGGCGAAACCAGTGGCAACTTTGTACTTGTGGTTGATCATTTAATTTAAAGTTTCGCTCGTGTACAACTTTCGGGATTTGAGAAATGGTAAACAATAAACAGTTTCCTTTTACTTTTACGTAGGGATTTTAAGCACTTTTCAGTGTCAATGGAAAGGCAACAAAAACAAGTGACGGAAGTTCAACCCGAGGGATTAAAAGTTTTGCTCAAAAGGCGAAACTAAAGCCCGACTCAAAAGGAGACGACAGTTGCCGTATTTTTCCTGCTACCCTTTCTTGTTTTTCTGGCTTTCCTCCACTCCTTTTTGGACTATGATTGAATATGTTTTTCCTTGACTTTTTTCCTTCCAACTTTTTGTGCAGCAGCAGCAGAGAAACTTAAATCTGTTCCACATGGAAATTATTTTGCCAGTTGTTCGCCGAACTTTTCAGTGCTAACAAAAACTGATAATTTGATATTCTCCTAATGACTCGGACAGTCTAAATTCCCAGAGTGTGCAGCCAGGTGAATGCCAGGTGGTCCTCTGCCCTCTCCACCATACGGTTCAGAGCAATTAGATGTCCATGCTGGAGGCGATAAAGCTCAAAAATGCGAGAGAAGACAAATGGTGTAAGTTCTTGGAAATGATTTATTTACTTTATCAACTTAAGAGAATGTGAAATTCAAAAAGATTTAAATGGAAAATTTGATTATTTTTTATAGAATTTTTATTCTGGATTTAAAGATTAAAGCAAAGCAAGGAAACGTGGTGTCTTATACCAGCTCTCATTAGACTACATAGAACATGGACTAGCTTTCAATTGGCAATCATTTTCACATGCATCCACCTGTAAAATGCATCCAATTAAACACAAAATTATTAATCAGCCAGCCCTGAAACGTTCCATTTAGTGCCGAAGCTCTGCACATCAAATCTAATCATTTTTGTCACAGTCACAGTCCAGTCCTAATCAAAGTTCAATCAACAAGCAGACCAAATTGCCTCCCAAAAAGCTAACAGAGCTTCAGCTCTATTAACAGTGTACTGTTACGCGCTAACAGCGCCAACGAAAGTGAGAGTTCTCGTATAAGAGAGAGAAAGTTCCCGCGAGAGAACGAGCGAAAGCTGTTAATTGAAGGAAATTGCAATGCGAGCCATGCCCTGCGATGCCATGCCATGCAGCCAGCAATAACAGCAGCAACAGCAACAACAACAACAACGACAAAAGCATCGCCGAACCGCAACACGCATCAGGCCAATCGGGCGACGAACCTGAACCCGAAGGAGGCGCCGAGGAGTGGCGACTCTGCACTCGTCTCTCGCATTGCACCGCAACGAAATTCGCCGGCAAGTGCGGCGTCACAGTATGCAAAACAAAGCCGAAACGTGCAGCAGTGGCAGCGGCAGAAACTACAGCCCAGCTCGAAACGAATCGAACACCCAACGGTAAATCACAAAAACAAACCGTTTTGTAAAACGCGCGCGAAAACCACACAACACACACACGGACGCACAGTGGAAAGCAGAAACCATAGCTGCGGGCGGCTGTGCCCGTGCCTCCCCTTCGACACGGATGCCTCTTGAGGCAAATGCAAATTAGCAGCCAGAACGCAAAAGAAAATACACAAAATAAGTGGCAGAATACGCACCGGCACCATCACTGGCAGCTTCCCCAGCATCCCCAGCTAGAATCTGCAACAGAATCCACGCCGCATCCGAACCAGCAGCAGCAGCAGCCAGAAACCAGCAACATCATCACACACATCACAAATAAATCCGGCAAGGGGGAAGGCCAAAAGTGAAAAATAACATTAGAGAAATCCGAGAAATTGCAGAAACGTTTGCCAAAATATTTTGAGAACCTCAAAAACTGCATCGTCGTG